ATAGAAATTTTTTCAACTCGTTTATATATATTAGGAAAAGTAGGGGCCCCAGTATTGAACCTTGGGGAACCCCATACTCAACCCGAAGCTGTGATGACCTCACTTTCTCAAAAGTGTTACCAATTAGACTGTCCAACTCAACACATTGTGTTCGATCCGTTAGATATGACTTAATCCAGTCATTCGCTACACCTCTAATTCCATAGTGTTCAAGTAGCATGATAAGAATTTCATGATTTACACAGTCAAATGCTTTAGACATATCAATGAACAGTCCAGCAACTTTAAGTTTCTTTTCAATTGCTTTAGTTATATGCCTCATGGCTTCAGCAATAGCATCTGTAGTTGATTTTTTTGCTTGAAAGCCAAACTGCTCATTTACTATAATCTTATTTATAGTTATAAATGTGGAAATTCTATCATGAAACATCTTTTCGTAGAGTTTAGCTACGTTAGAGGTGAGCGTCAATGGTCTATAATTTTCTACATTATCCCTTGCACCTTTTTTGAACAGTGGAACAACTTTACTGGCCTTAAGCACATCAGGAAATCTGCCTTCTGAAAAGGACAGATTAATTGCATGTGTTAGAGGCACTACTATCCATGGTGCAATTTTTTTAATAATAATGTTTGATATTTCATCCAGACCTGAGGATGTCTTATTTTTTAATGTGCTGATCGCCTTTGTTAGTTCATCAATAGTTATTGGTTGAAGAAACATAGTATTCAAATTTTTTTCAGAGAGGATTTTAAAATCACTTTCTTGTTTATCCTTAATTATATTTTTTGGAAGGTTTATATAATAGCTATTAAATGTAATAGCAACATCCTCAGGTTTGGTAACATTATCATCTCCCGTTTTAAGAGTAATAACATCTTTATCCTTAGCTTTAACATTTCTATGTTCATTAACAATTTTCCAAGTTGCCTTAGACCTCTTTTCAGAGGTTTCAATGTAGGTCATATTTCTATTTATGTTAGATTGCTTGAGGAGATAGTGGTATTTTTTTTTAAGGTTGTTGTTCAGTTCTTTTAAGGTTGCTGAGGGCTGACCATTGCTTTGCTTTTCGTTTACGAGATCAATCAAATTTTTAATATATAGAATATCATTGGGCAGCTCAGTTGACTTTTTTGATGTATGAGATCTAACTTTGCTCTTTTTGATTGGACAAGTAAGATTGAAGTAATAGTTGAAAGTATCCAGGAAGTTGACTATTGCTTCCTCCGCACAGGTAGCTGTGAGTACCTCCTGCCAGTTTTCTTTTTCAAGCAGAATAGTTAGGTGTTGGATATTTTGGTCATTACATGTCCTTTTTACATTATAGGTATCTTCCTTTAGGTTGCCAGTTTGAACATATAGTGTCAACAGCTGTGCATAATGGTCTGAAATGTAGGTTTCTATTACTTCTGCACAAAGTGGGAAGTCACCACTCATACAGATATTATCAATACATGTTTCAGTTGTGTAGTGTTTTCTTGTAACACTATCAAAACATGGTCTGATTCCATAACATTCCATGATATCTATAAATTCTTTAGCATGTTTGTTCTTAACTAGTAGGTCTAAATTGAAGTCACCAGCCACCATTATAACATTTTCAGAATTTGTAAAATTAAGTAGTAGTGATGACAGGTTTTTAAAAAATGTATTAACATTATTTAGTGGTGGTGGCCTATAAATTCCAAAAATATAGTAAGTCCTGTGGTCCCACTTGAACTTAATTTTTACAGCACATACCTCAAAGATGTTATCTACAATGTACTCGCTAACATCCACTTCTTGGGTTAAGTTTCTGTAGCATTCTTTGACGAGGATGATTACACCACCTCCTCTCCCAACGCCTTTACTTCTACAGTAGCTGCTCCCGTTGACATATCCGATGTATTTTGAGGCTTCTGGTTCACCGGCATGAAGCGCGGTTTCACTGGCCACCATCACATCCGGGCAAAGCTCATTTAATATTGTGTCAATCATGTTCTTTTTGTTGGCGATGAATCGTACATTTTGGTGTAGAACTTTTAGTTTGGTATAGCTGTTGTTGTCTTCAGTTTTATTATCAAGTCTAATTGATTTTCTGGAGATGCTGTTTGTGGTGGTTCTGTCAGTTGTAGTGCTGTGCCTGTTTTCTGTCATTTTAGTCGAAAAGGCCAAATCCCATATCTTCCTCTACTTCTTGCTCATCCTTGGATTTGTCTAGTGCAAGGGTGGTGTCACTATCTGGCTTCTCTATGTTTTCAATCTCAGTATCTTCTTCATCTTCTGTACTTTCCTCTGGTGTTGGGAGGCAGCTCAGGGTGCCAGATTCCGAGGTTGCTGTAGTGATGAGTTTGCAGAACACCTCTTTTCCCTCAGTGTTAAGATGAAGACCCAGTTCAGAATAGTGTTCCTTTGTGAGCACTTTATTGACATCTACTATTTGGATTCTCTCCAAAAGTCCTTGTTCATTTGCTTCTGTCAGGATCATATTTCTAATGTGATTATTATAGATGTCAATTTTACCATTGGCATCTGTTTCATCATATCTGTAGGGGATTGTCAATATAGTGACCTTCGTATGCTTTGCTTGGGAGACTATGTCCTTTCTTGCCTCATCATGACTAGTTAGATCTTGATTCTCATTATTCAGATCTATGTCATTGGTTCCTGTTATAACAACTAGGTTGTCCTCTGGCGAGAGGTATGATGAGTACAAGTTCAAGTTCTTTGTGGCTGCGCTGGTTGTGGCACCTCCAGTGGCTTGTGCATAAAAGGTCTGATCTTTGTCTTTTCTTAGTATTTGTAGTATACCTTTGGCATGACTGTCTCCAACTATTTCTGTGGTTGCCTTTCTTTTTTCTTTTAGGAGGAACTTTTTCTTTCCATCTTTGCTTCTTGCATACATGGGTTCCTCATCTTTGTCATTGTACAATACATATACTTCTATGTTGCTGTTGTAGAAAACCGATTTGAGGAGCTTCATGACATTGGGCCACTTGAAGGCATCAAGTCCGCATCCTATCTTGGGCATAATTAGCTTGTTTATTTTAAGTCTTTCACAGGTTTCAGGGAGCTTTTTGATGGTTTTTTTGAAGTCATTCCAATTTGGAAGTTCACGTGATACCTTCTTGGTTACAAGATTGAGGAGGTAGTCATTGCCTATTTTCATTTCAACGATGTCTGACACTTGACAGTTCTTCTTGAGCGTTTCCGTGTCTATGTTGAGTTTAGTTTTTAGCTTTAGTGCAATGCCCCGTCCCATTCTCATATCTCTTGCGACACAATGTGCTGCAGAGAACCCTTCAGTATCCATTGCTTCCAAGAGATTTCCTTCGATCATATATATAGAGTTGTTTGAGTAGCTGGTTTCATTCTTCTCTTGGTCGTTTGGAATGAGTTTTTCCTTTTCTTTACTGTCTTTACGTGCCTTGCTAAAGTTAAGGAGGAGAAGGAGAAGTCACCTAAGTCCTCTTAACTTGACTTATGGGATGGCCTTGGTTTAAAAGCTATAGTTTTAGCTTGAGAGTTAGATTTTTTTTGTAATTTTTTCCTAGGAAGTGTTTGTGTTATATGAACTGTAAATTTTGTTCTTTGTGTTCGGACAAAATAAATTGTCAATTATTGCTATACAAAGTTTTCAAACCTTCTTTCCTTACCCCAGTTTGCAATTTAAAGTTGATACAGTTTTTCATATTCAAAAATTTTAGTGTTTAAATAGTTTATGTAGACAATTTTAGCAGTAAATTTATCTGGGTTTAAGATTTTCTTAATTGGATACGAACTGTAACGGCAGTTAAATTGAGACCAGCAGTTGTGGTTTGAGGTTATTACACTTACTTCATTTTCCACATTTAATATCTTGTTATCTAACTCACCTATTGAAATAGCGGTCCATTGTTTTTATTTTTAAATTACTAAAGTATGACGGTTGTGGCATTCCTCAGAATGCCTTTGAAATACTTTTGAAGCTATTGAAATTGAAGTTTCGCTTTCATGTTGCTGAGGGAAATGACAATGGAACCAAAAATAAAAACTAGTAACTTATGGTTGATTTATTTACAAAATAGTTTGATTACAAAAGGAAATTTATTGTCAATTTTAGTTAGACATGCGTGCTGGTTGTCCAATTAAATATGTTGAGCCGGTTGCGCTTGACTTTTTACCGCACAGCAGGCTGAGGCTTTTCTTTTTTTTTTCGGCTTCTTCTAAAGTGAGAAGTCTGTGGAGTTTGATCATGCGGCCAGATCATGCACAGGCAAACTGCTGCGTCGTGCGCGCCTGGTGCGCGTTGGGTAGGCAAGCCCGCTAAGCATCCGTGTGTAACCGTGGCCTATTCAGAGCTTGCGGGGTGCTTCAGCTTGGGTAAGCGATTGCGCTTCGCATTGACTGATGGTTTACTCTTTTGAGCGCTTATATCGTCGCGTTTACTTCTCTTAGTATCAGAAATGTACTTATTGAAAGGAGCAGGGTGATTTTTTTGAATTATTGTTATTATATTTTACATTTAATTTCCTTGGAATTATAACTTTTAACTTTAGGTGCGCCGCAGGCCAAGGTAGACGCACTTTTAGCTCAGCTTCTCACGGTTTTAACGTGCGTCTACCTTGTCGTAGGCAGAGCACAGTCGCTTGTACATGATGATCGCCGGTCGGCACGGCGCGCCACCCGCTGCCCGCTCCTCTGCCGAACACAGGCCTACTGGCGTGCCGTGCACCGCTCGGCTGCCACGCCTCGCTAGACCGGAGGAGGCAGGCAGAGGGAGGGGGTTGCCGTGTCGTGCCGCGCCACGCCGCGCCGTGCTACGGTCGCTTTTTACGGAGAAGAACGCTTTAGAAACGCGCGAAATTTATCGTAAAATCTCGTTTTGAAAATACTACGTGACTTCGGTCGAACCCCCCCCCCTCCCCC